TTTACTCCTGGACATCCATATTTACTTGACTTAAGCCTCAGTGGCCCTTAGTTCCTACCACTTCAAGAGCAGGGTCCGACGAAGGGACTAGAGGGACCCAAGGCAAGCTGTACCCTGGCATCAAAAGGAGACAAGCCAAGTTCCTAAGTATAATAAGTTAAACCATGGTCATGGAACACACTCTGTCATGACCCAGAAAGAAGTAACTGAATAAGGACCCTGCTGGGGTTAGGAAAGACCAACCTGGCCTGAGGACTGTGGTCTTGAATATATAGCGAGATGTCCCCAGGAAGAGCCAATCGTTAAGTTTAATATATCTCTTACGGTAGTTTAATATAACTCTTACTGTGTTCAGACAAAATGACCAGAAATATTATAAGAAATAAATTTACTATGATTGTTTAAATGGCGTAGCGATAGCACAGCGGTAGGGCGTTTGCCTTACACGCGGCCAACATGGCCGACCCGAGTTCGATTCCTCCGCCCCTCTCGGAGAGCCCGGCAAGCTACCGAGAGTATTCGATATGCCAGACACAGTAACAACAAAGTCTCCAATGGAGACGTTACTGGGCCCGCTCGAGCAAATCGACGATCAACGGGAGGGCCTTTACCTTTACCTTTACCTTTGTTTAAATGGATTTCTAGCTGAGAAAAGGAGAAAGCAATGTACCCTGGATAGAATCCTGCAGATCTCCTAGTAATCTGGAGTGCTGAACCCTCAAGTGAGATTTTGCCTTTGAGTTAATCTCAAGAGTGGGGCCTGGTTGTTGTTATGATAATGTTCAACCCCACCGTTGTGTCCCCACCCTTCATGATTTCTGTATAACTATGCTGTTAGGGGTAAGAGGCGACGAGAAAGTCGACAACTAGAAAGAGGATGAGAAGTGAGACTTTGGGATTTTGGGACAAGAAGTAGGACTAGATGGTGACGATGACTGGAAGTAGAGGACTTTGAGGTCTACAGGGAGACTAGGATGATGGAACTGTGATGACCGGGACTATGACCAAAACTACGACTACAATTGTGCCGTCAGGGAGAGATCGAACTACACTGGGAAGGAGAGAGGGGGAGGAGAGAGAGTAAACCGACTACTGAGCAGCCTGGGACCCGGGTCCTGTTTCTCTGTCCGTTCCCCGCCCTCCCCCCCCCCCCCACATTCTTTGTCCGCTAGTCATCAGGCCTGGGGAGAAAGCTCTTGGGCCCTGAACGCACCTTTTATTTTGGAAACTCACAGTTAAGATGCTTTCCTAGCATGCAGCTGCAGCTGTAATACTGTCTCAAATCCTAGCACCCATGTGGTCTCCCAGCACCAAAAGGTGTGGCCCTGACACAGAACCAGGAGTGGCACCTGAGCAGTGAGTATGTCAGTCCCCCCCCCCATCCCCAGATAAAAAGACTATGTACAAGCCATCATGAATACAAAAATACTTCACACTAACTCAGAGCTTCCTCTTTTTCACACAACGCTGAGCCAAGAAAAATTGACATTGAGGGTTTAACTGACTTGACCCCAAGTCTTTAAAACAAAAATCAACGGAAAAAAAAGAAAAAGAAGAAGAGACACTCTGATCTAGGGTTTGAAGTGATAGCACAACAGGTAAGGCATTTGCCTCGCACACAATGGACCTAGGTTCGATCCCCGACCTCCCATATGGTCTTCCGAGCACCACCAGGGGTAATCCCTGATTGCAGAGCCAGGAGTAAGTTGGCTGAACATCGCCGGGTATGGCCCTAAAATAAGACAAAATAAAAATAAAGAAGAGTTGCATTCATCTGGGGAACATAAAGCAACAGGAATGGCTGAGATTAGTACCAGGAATTTTGCTCCATGACTTGAAGGCCAGCCACATCTGCTAGGTGAAACGGAAGCTCAGATAGAGAAGAGAGCACCAAATAAAGGGTGCTGTGAAGACCCTCCCAGGGTGGGAGAGACATGCTGAAAGTGGTCTGTGGACCAAACATGATTGCCACTCAATGCCTCTCTTGCAAAACACAGTACCCAAAAGAAGAGAGAGAGAGAACAAGGGGGAATGCCCTGTTACAGCGGTAGGGTGGGATGGGGGGTGGGTGGGTGGATGGGGGGATGCTGGGACCCGTGGTGGGGGAGGATGGGCACTGGTGGAGGGATGGGTACTTGATCATTGTATAACTGAAACCCAAGCACAAAAATTTATAAGTCTATAACTGTACCTCATGGTATTTCACTAATTAAAAAAATGATAAATAAAATAAAATAAAATAAAAATAAAAAAGAGACTCTGATTTAGGATGCTTTCAGGACTTTAGATTGGGAAGCCAGGAATGTAATCCAGAGGTAGAGTACTCAGCGGTAGAGTACTTGCCATGCACGTGTGTGAGGTCCTGGGTTCTATCACCCACTCCCTCCCGACCCCGTTCCCCTGCCTTCCCCCCAAGCCTCACAGGGCTGGGGCACAAACTTTTCTCTTCTTTTTTGGTTTCTGGCCCACATCTGGTGGTGCCCAGGGCTGCGCTCTAGGCTCTGTGCTTGGGGGATCACGTCTGGTAGTGGAGCACATGCTTTGAGTGCAGGAGACCTATTTCCATCCCCAAGTCCGTGGCTTCATGGAACCCCCAGCACCAACTAGCCAGGTGTACTCCTTGAGCACCACTGGATGTGGCCCCCAAACTGAAACAAGCAGAAAGGAATTTAGATTGTCCACAGTGGGTGCACCTCATCGGCACATGACAGTGCTCAGAGGAACTTGGAAAAATCTGCCATAAAACCCTTCGTCAGAATTAGCATAGTAGGTGGGAATAGAGAAGTGGAAGCCACACGTCTAGAATCTGAATCCTGCCTCTACGCTTAACCAGCTGTGTGATTTGGGCAAGACGCTTTGCTATGCCTCAGTTTTTCTTCTTGTAAACTGGGTGATAACAACACCATCCTTTTTTGCAGGGTTGTCCTAGGGATTAAATGAGTTAATGAGAACAAGGCATTTAGAAATAGGCCTAGGCCTGCCAGGTGACAATCCCTCCTTAGTATCCCCTCAATCCACAGAAGGAACCCCACTTTTTTTTTCTTTTGTGTTAAACAAACTGGCGTCGTGCTCAGGGCTTACTTCTGGCTATATGCTCAGGGCTCACTCCTGGCGGGGCTTGGGGGACCATACTGGGGGCTGGAGACGGAAAGTGGGTTGGCTGCCTACAATGCAATGCAAGCGGCCTACCTGCTGTACTGTGTCTTCACCCCCTGCTTTTATTTTCTTTAAATGGTGATGGAGATGAAGCTCAGAGCACTCACACTTATAAAACTTGAGCTATACCGTACCATTAAGCTACATCCCTGGTCCAGAGAAAATCCTTTGTTATCAAATAAATCAATAAAAACAGAATCTGAGATGGTCTTTTTTAAAGTATTTCTCCCTCAAGATTCTAATGTGCAGGTCGGGTTTTGTTTTATTTTTATTTATGTGTGTGTGGGCTGGAGCGATAGCACAGCGGGTAAGGTGTTTGCCTTGCACGTGGCTGACATCGCCAACCTGGGTTCGATTCCTCCACCCCTCTCGGAGAGCCCGGCAAGCAACAGAGAGTATCTCACCCGCGCGGCAAAGCCTGGCAAGCTAGCCGTGACGTATTCGATACGCCAAAAACAGTAACAACAAGCCTCACAATTTGTTGTGAGACGTTACGGGTGCCCGCTCGAGCAAATTGTTGAACAGTGAGAGGACAGTGCCACAGTGCAGTGCTGTGTGTGCGTGTCGGGGGGTGGGGGGGCGAGGGGGCTGTGGGGAGAGGTTGGGTTGGGCCAAACCCACGGTGCTCAGGGATCCCTCCTGAAAGGGTCAGAGAGATAACCATACTGATGCCAGAGATCGAATGTGGGTCTGCCACACGCAAGGCAAGAGCCTTATCCACTGTACTCTTACCTAGGTCCCATAGCTCGACCTTTAAATTAAAAACAAAGACAAACACAAAAAACCCAGGACTGGAGAGGTAATAAGAAGGTTAAGGCCCTCACATTGCATGCAGTTGCCTCCCCCCAGCACCCCATTAGACCCCCCCAGTACTGCCTGGAGTAGTCCCACAAAGCCAGGAATAAACCCAGAACACTGCCGGATGTGGCCCCCAAACAAAAAACAGACGTCTGTGAAGCTCATGCTTCTCTGGGGGTTCGGCTTCCAGAAAAAGTTGACAAAGAATGAAATGAGCATTAAAAAAAAATTCTCAGGGGGGATAAAGTTGAGTGCTGAGACGTGTTAACTGGATCTCCCGGGACCAATAGGCCCAGGGACGAAGGAAACTCACACACACATAGACACACAGACACACACACAAACACACACACATAGACACAGATACACAGAGACACAGACACAGAGAAACAGGCACACACATAGACACACAGACACACAGACACACACATAAAAACACACACATAGACACAGATACACAGACACAGACAGACACACACATACATAGACACGCAGACACACAGACACACACACAAACACACACATAGACAGATACACACAGACACACACATACATAGACATGCAAACACACAGACACACACACACAAACACACACACATAGACACAGATACACACAGACACAGACACAGACAGACACACACATAGACACACAGACAGACACATACATAAAACACAGACACAGACACAGACACAGAAGACACACAGACACAGAAGACACACAGACACACAGACACACACACAGACACACATAGACACAGACACACACACAGACACACAGAGACACACACATAAAACACAGACACAGACACACAGACACAGACACACATACACAAACAGACACAGACACACACACAGAGACACGCGCTCTCTCTCCGCCCAATGCTCTCTGGGAGTCGTAGTTTTCCGGAGCCCCGCAGCCAGGCGTGGGTGCCGAGAGAGAAACTACACATCCCAGCGTGCCCCGCGCCGCCCGCCCCGCCCCTCGCCGGCCGGCCCCGTGGCTTTCCCACTCCCGCCTCTCTCGGGGGCGGCGGCGGACTCGCCATGGCCGACGACGCCGGCTCGGGCTCGGGCTCCGGCTCGGGCTCGGACTCGGGCTCCGGCTCCGGCTCGGGCTCGGCGCCCAGCCCGCGGGGCTCCCCGAGCGGCGCGCCGAGGATGCCGCGGGCGGCCCCGCCGGGCGGCGGGTGCGCGGAGACGCGGCGCGCGGCGGCGCTGGCGCTGCGCTTCGACCGGCCCATCAAGCAGGCCTTCTACAACACGGGCGCCGTGCTGTTCGTGTGCCTGTGCTGCGGCGCCGCCGTGCTGGTCTTCTTCATCCTCGAGGCCTTCCTGCGGCCGCTGCTCTGGGCCGTGCTCTGCGGCACCTTCCTGCACCCGTCCAAGAGCTCGCTCACGCGCCGCGGCCGCCGCTGGCTGCAGCGGCTGCGGCGCGCGCGGACGCCCGTGGTGCTGGCGGCGCTGCTGCTGCCGCTCTGCTTCGCCGACCGCGGCCTGGAGGCGCTGGGCCAGCGCGCGCGCCGCCGCCGCCGCCCGCTGCTGCTGCTGGGCGCGGGCGGCCCGCTGCTCTACGGCCTCTGCCGGCTGGGCGGCTGCCTGGGCGCGCGGCCGCTGCTGGCCCGCGGCGGCGCGCTCATCTGCCGCGGCCTCGACTGCTTCAGCAGCCTCTGGGTGAGTGGGCGCGCGCGCGGGGGCGCGGGTGCGGAGCGGGGCGGGGGACACCCGCCGCCACCCGCCCGCCCGCGCGGGACCGGGCCGGCCAAAGGTCGGGGGCCGCCTCCCGCCCTGGACCCGGGCGCCCCGGACCCGGGCGCCCCAGGGCGCGGGTGTGGCCGCGGTGCAGAACCCGCCTCCCCCCGCGCGCGCGTGCGTCCTTGCACCCATCCTCCGGGGCGCGCGCGCGCCTCCCCCAGGTGGGCCCCGGCGGGGTCGCAGTCTGGACCGCCCCTGGCTTCGCGTGGGACTTGCTTAGTTAGGACCGAGTCCCACCTGTCGGTGGACTCCGGGACCTTCTTCTTCTTCTTCCCAGGTCGGGGCTGTTTAGGGACACAGGGGGCGGGCGGGGGGACTGCGGGGACCCCAAGTCTTTCGACTCCCGGAATTGCATCCCGGGTGAGTTTGCTGCCTGCAGGCTCCGGGGAGCTCCGGGGGGCTCCGGGGTGCGGAGATCGCTGGACCACGCGCCGCCCAGCCGGGCGAGGGATGCTCCAGCGAGGTCACCACCGGGTGCGGGTGCAGGAGGAGGTGACTGGGGATGCTTGGATTCCCCGGAGCATCTTCTGCGCAAAGCAAGGAAGCGCCCCCCTGAGAATTGAGAGCTGGCCTGGCCCGCGGCTGACCTGGGTTCAGCCTTCTGCATCCCATCCCGCGTCGCCCCCCGCACCCCACCCCCAGCACCGCCAGGAGGGATTCCTGAGTGCCCCGAGCATTGCCGGGTGTAGACCCCAAAACATCAACCGCAAAGCAAGGAATCCGTAGAACTGCTCAGGGAGCACGATCTGGACCACCGTCATCTGGATATTTGGGAACCATTTAGAGCAGGTAGATATCTACAGATATTTTAATGCGTCAGGGTATCCGTTCGTCGATAATTAGTATCTTTGGAAGAGACGTTTTGTTCACGTTTGTCAGGGGAATCCGAGAAACTTGGTTGCCTTGCCCAATAATTTGGCGCCTGGCACCTAGGAGGGTTTTGACCTGCTTGAGGTTCCTGGGAGAGGGTTGACTGGGCTTAGGATCCCTGGGGGTCTTCTCTTTTGTCTCTGTCCTTACCGCTACTAGCGGTCAGTTCAGTTTCTCATTTTGTTGGAGAGAGAGAGAGAGAGAGAGAGAGAGAGAGAGAGAGAGAGAGAGAGAGAGAGAGAGAGTTTGGGCACTAAGTACTTGTGCAGCTAAGTCATCAGACCTTGACCTCCCGGTCAGTTTTTGTTTTGGGGGACCACACCCTGTGGTGCTCAGGGCTTATCTCTGGCTCTGCACTCAGAGATCACTCCTGGCCAGTGCTCTGGGCTACTGGGAATCAAACCCAGGTGGGCCATGTGGAAGGCACGCATCCTGCCCACTCTGCTGTCCCTCTGGCCCCCAAGCCTGGCTGTTTGAACTGTGGTAGGAAGGAGGAGGTGGAGGGGACCCCCCTTTCACTTCCTGGGTTTCTGGCTGCTGTGGAAGTGACCTCTGTTTACCTGCTACAGCAGCAGAGGCTTCTGCGGACGGACGTGGTCATCCTGTGGGGTCTCACAGCGGCTTGAGAACAAATGTGCAGCCCCTGTTTTTGGAGTCCCAGTTCAGTCTTCCTCCGTCTTTACCTCTTTCCACACTGAAGGGGGTGGAACACTGCCTAGAAATAGAAAGACTGCTGTGACTGATTCCTGTTTTCTAGCTGTTCAGTCTTGTTGAAATCAGCCACAGCCAGAAGTGCTACCATTTTGGGGGGGGGGGGGGATCGGTGGGGGAGCACACACCCAGCTGTGCTTAGGGTTTACTCCAGACCCTGCACTCAGGGATCACTCCTGGTGAGCTGGGATGCTGAGGATTGAGCCCTACCCGCTTTAATATTACTGTGGCCCCCCGTGCTACCACTTTTGACTGCATTGTACTTAAAAAACACTCTGGGCAAGACCCAACAGAGTCACCAGACAGGAGGAGCTTAGGAAAGGCCTCCAGTATGTGTGCAGGGTGGTTTCAAACCAGAGTCAGAAGTGGAATCCACTGGCTGAGTCACCGTGACCCAGGGCACACTGGGGTGCTTTGCCACTGGCTGTCACCCCGGTTGTGGAGAGAGCAGAGGAAGTAGGACTTTGTGTGAAGAAAAGGCACCGTTGGGTGTGTACAGATTTGAAAGATCCTGTTTATGGAGTTCAGCCCCCATCTTTGCATTTAAGATCCTGTGTGGTTTGTGGGGGCTGGAGTGGTAGCACAGCGGGTAGGGCGTTTGCCTTGCACGAAGCCGACCTGAGTTCGACTCTCCCGTCCCTCTCGGAGAGCCCGGCAAGCTATCGAGAGTATCCTGCCCGCTTGGCAGCGCCTGGCAAACTCCCCGAGGCATATTCGATACGCCAAAACCTGTAACAAGTCTCACAGTGGAGATGTTACTGGTGCCCGCTCAAGCAAATTGATGAACAACGGGAGGACAGTGCTACAGTGCCACAGTGGTTTGTGGATGAACAGAAGAGAAAGTCAGGGCCAGGAGAGAGTGAGAGTGTCTTCTAGAAGCAGGGCGGGAGGCTGTAGGCAGTCCTTGATTTGGGGAGGCTGGGCAGAAGAGCAGCTGCAGAAACCTGTTGCCAGAGAGACCTTTCGAGCTCAGGGGATTGCAGGAGGGCCTGGCAGAGAAGCTAGAAGGGGGTGGGGGGTCCCCGAGGTTGTGCTTCTGAGTTCCCGAAGCAGCCTTTTGGGGTGGTGGGGGGGGGGCTCAGGGTGCTCCGCCAGGCGTGCTGAGTCAGGCCGGGTCTGCTCTGGAAGCGAAGCAGGTGGTGACTGGGCAGGGGGCCACCACTCTGGCTTGTGTCTCTCCGGGTTCATGGTTTCGGTTCTGAACTGCCAGGCGGGAAAAAGTTCAGGGGAAGGAGCCCAAGCCGAGTTCCCTAAACTGGGGAAAAAAAGAAAAGAACCCGTATGCTTTCGAGGCACGCTGGGAATGTGAGCGTGCTCGCTGGAGAGGGACAGAGGGGAGAGAGAGTCAAAGTGGGAAAACAAATTTGCCTCATGCAAAGAGCTGAGAGCTCGTCATTTAAGGTCTGCACTCGAGCATCGGCTGTGTGCTTGCCAGTTATTGCATTAGGTGCACAAGCGATTTCATTCTGATAAATGAGAAGGTCGATGGGGATATTGATCTGTTGGCTGTGTCAGGAAGTGGTGTTTAGCAGACTTCTTGGCCATGGAAGCCCTCTGTCATCGCGGTCCTTTTCTGTAGTTATCTAAGATATGGATTTAATTTTTCTCCCATAAAATTATTTGAAATTTTTTTTTTTCCTTTTTGGGTCACATCGACGATGCACAGGGGTTACTCCTGGCTCTGCACTCAGGAATTACTCCTGGAGGTGCTCAGGGGACCATATGGGATGCTGGGAATCGAACCCGGGTCGGCTGCGTGCAAGGCAAATGCCCTACCTGCTGTGCTATCGCCTCAGCCCCAAAATTATTTGAATTTTTGATATTTCTTGGATTTAAATTGATTTTGATTATTAGGAACCAAAGAAAAGAATATCAGAGTTGGAATAATCACCCATGAACCCCAATCCCCCCACCTGGATTCTAGTTATTTGAAAATCCCCAAAACAGAATGAAAAAAGGTTTCTTTCCTACTGGTGTGTGTGTGTTTAGTATCAAGTCCAAGTTCTGCCCCGCTTTCCTTTGTAGTGTCTTCAAAACTCTTATTTTCCTTTGTGGCCAGTTTATGCTCCCAGTGCCTCTTCACCTCACTCTTCCTGGATCACTTCCAGTCTCCTACCTCCATTCCGCAAGCCCCTTCTCCTAATTCCCCATCCCGCGTCCATGAAAGATGAATGAAGTGGTCAGATTCTTTTCAAGCCAACTGGGTGTATTCGAACTTTAGTAGGTGGTTTTTCTGCAGGTCTCAACCCATCAAGCTCATGGCAGCCAGTCCTTGGAGTCCTGGATGTCCCCGCTGTGAGGCATTGCCAAGATAAAACTCAAAAACCAATGTTTGCTGCCACCCCCCCCCCCTCCCCACTTTTTCCTTCGCTGGGAGGGTTTTGATTTTCCTCTCCCTGTTAGTTCAGCCGTGTTAGGAAGTTGTTGTGTTTTTTTTTTTTCCTTTTTTTTGGGTCACACCCAGAGATGCTCAGGGGTTACTCCTGGCTCTGCACTCAGGAATTACTCCTGGTGGTGCTTGGGGGACCATATGAGATGCTAGAGATCGAACCCAGGTTGGCCAGGTGAGGCCAATGCCCTCCCCGCTGGACTATTGCTCTGCACCCCCCCCTCCCCGTTAGGAAGTTTGAAGAGCATTTAAGTAGTTTTCCTAACATTTTAACAGGTCAGTTTTTTTTCTGGGGGCTCCGTTTCACTGCTTCACTTTAGGAAAACGCCTGGTGGAAGGAACAGTGCTTAAAGGAAAGCTCTTTCTCTAGGGTCCCTCAAGTACCCTTGGACTTGGGGCAGACCAGGGCCCTTTTCTCGTCTACTCAGCCCTGGCTCTGTGAAGCGCGGGGTGATTTCTAAGGTTCCTTGAATAATTGTAAAGATCCCCAAAGTCTAGCAGCGCTGCTAGCAGCATGGCCCTTATTTAGCCTGCTAGCTGGGCAGGCCAGCTCCAGTCCACTTCTGAACCCCCTTGTCTAGGTGCGTTTCAGCAACTGTGTTTTGGCAACGGGAAGAGCAGTCTCCAGGACTTAGTCCTCCGGTTAAAAACATTGTGAAAGACTGTTGACTCCTGTTGGCCTTTCCATCCATCCTACCCACTGGCTCCCCTCCCCTTCCGTCCTCTGCTCTCTCCTCCCCTCCCTGCCCCTCTCTCCTCATTGTTTCAGGCACTGGGGCATTGAACCCAGGGCCTTACTTACGTAGGGCAAATGCTTCACTCTGTGCACCCAGCCCCTTTCTCTTTTCTTGCAGTGTCTGTGATCAAGCCCAGGGTCTTACACATTCAAGACGTGCATTCAGCCATTGAGCCACACCACAGCCCAATTTTAGAAGTTTTAAAGAAGATG